AGCGGTACAGGGATTGCGGTTCGTCCGCACATCCCCGTCGGAGCTTAGCCACTCGCTCGCCCCCTTCCTCAGCCTGAGAGGGTTTGCTCCGCGTGGGTCAACGCGTTCGTCTCTGGAGGCCTGGCGGTCTTTTCGCTTTGTTTGGATTGCAACGATCCGCTAGGCCTCGACTCGTTCAGGATTTTGAATCGCATAGGCGAAGAGATCCACCAGCTGCAGATCCCTTTCGTCATTGGAGGGGGTTGGAATACTCACCCATCACAGCTGCTCAACACTGGGTGGGCTGACCGTCTAGGAGGCGCAATTTTGCATTCCAGCAGACCCACTTGCCGCAAGTCGGACAAGCAGTGGAGGACCAGCGCTTTCTTTGTCGTCTCGCGGGGCCTCGAGTCCGCCATGAGAAAGATCGATCGCAACGAGGCCAGCGCCACATCGCCCCATTAGGCCGTGTCGTTGGAGCTCGAAGGTAATCCCTTGGAGGCCAAGGTCAAGGTTCTGCAAGGGCCCAAGCCTTTCCCGAAGGAGCGCCCCATGGGTCCCTACCCCACTCCTCCGTCGTGGGCCCCCTGCAGTGACATCCTCGACAGACCCGATGTGGCCCCTAACGACCTGGACCAGGCTTATGTTCAGTTTTGCAAGCTCTTCGAGGCGGAACTCTAGAGCGCCCGCAACGTCGATTCCCTGGGCCGTGCCTATTCTGGCAGGGCCAACGGGCTCAAGCTTAAGGAGGTTTCAGCTGTGCGGACTTCTGGAGGGGATTACCCTGTTTCTTGTCCTGAAGGCCGTGCTTGGAGGAAGTTGGCTACTTGGTTTCTGGAGTTGGCGTACCTGCTTAGGAAGGACCACCCCAGGGACCACCCAGAGATCCTCTCGCTGGGCTCCAAGTTGGCCTCGGGCCCGAATAGGCTCCTCGAGAACCCTGAGTGGAAGCAGTTGCGCGCGCATTTCCAGCTCTGCTCGATTGAGGTTAACCAGTTGTTGCAGTTTGCCGCTGCGTCCAAGCGCCAGGCAGAGCTGTTCGAACGGCGCTTCCGCACCAAGAGGGCCAAGCAGTGGCGGACTTGGGTTGCTAAATCTCTCGAGGGAGGAGGAGGCCTGGCGCGCCGGTTCACCAAGAAGCCTTGTGGGTTCATCCCCGACAACCCCAATGGGGGCCCCCCTCACGTTGCCAACTTTTTGCTGTTATCCGACGCAGGCTTGCAGTGCCTGGCGAGCATTTGGTTTCACATGGAGCGCCTCGGCCATATACCAGAGCCCCTCCATCACATCCTGCTCGCAATGATTCCTCGTGAGGACGGGGGTCGCCGACCTATCGGAGTTTTACCCGGAAGCATTCGCATCTTCGGTAGGTTATCTCGGATCGAAGCCGAGAGATGGGAGGAGGCCCATCCTCGTGCGTATCAGTTCGGCAGCAAGGGCAAGTCGTGCGAGAGGGCTATTTGGGAGCAATCGGTCCGTCTCGAGCATGCGCGCCTTTGCAAACATCAATATGCACACGCCCTGGTTGACATGACCAAATGCTACGAAAAGGTGCCCCACTACCTCCTCGCGTGCTCGGGGATTAAGCACGGCTTCCCAGCGCGTCGGCTTAGGTTCCTGCTCGCACTGTATCGGGGCAAGCGCTCGCTGCAGTTTGACATGCGAGTATCTGAAGATATTTGTGTCGAGCAAGGGATCCTGGCAGGCTGATCGTTTGCCACCGCTCTCCGATTTTGCTTTTTGCTCGACGTGTTGGACGACGCTGTCCGCCTCTGCCCCAGCATATCCGCTTACAATGTCGTGGATTGCGTTAGTATAGGAGCTGCGGGTAAGCGTAAGCATGTTGCCCACATGGTTTTGGGTGCCACCACGTTCATCTGTGTCCAGCTCGAGGCTTTGGGGTTCACCATCTCGCCCACCAAAGGTATCGTCACGGGCTCGTCGGCCCAAATCGTCCAGGTTATCCGCGCGGGGCTCTTGTTCTGGGATTTCAAGGGCATGGGGGCCACGAAGAACCTAGGTGTGGACTTCGCAGGGGCTCCCGGGCGCTCTACCAAGGTCCAGCAGCGACGTTGGCAATCCCTTCTTCCGCGCATCAGGAGGTTCCGTGGTCCCAGGTCGACCTTCTCGGGCATGCACAGGGTCATCAAGGCGGGTGGGGCCCCAGCGGCCCTCTACGGGGTCAGGGTCACTGGCATGGCCCCAACCCAGCTGGCCTCTTTGAGAGCCATCATCGGAGATGCGGCATTCGGCCCTGCCAGGGGCCGTAGCAGAACGATCCAGTTCCTTCTCAACCAGGACCACAAGTTGGACCCCACCTACCAGGCTCATCAGCTCCCTCTAGGAATGTGGCACCAGGCTATCCAACAACGATGGCTTCCCAGGTCCATGCTTAGCAGTTGCTGGAAGCATTACCGGTCCTCCAACTCTGCTGGCAAGTGGTCCCAGGTCCTCGGCCCAACGGGCGTCGTGCTGGCCACTCTGCCGCGTCTCGGTTGGGTGGGAGTGGAGTTCGACAAGTGGGACATCGGGGGCGGGATCTCAATCGACCTAGGTTCCGTTGGTAGGCACGCGGTGGCCACCTTGATCGAGCAGGCTACCTACCGCCAGTTGTTGCGTCATGTATCCATCCCGAACGCGGCTGGCCAGTTATGCCCGCCTCTCTCTGTGGTCCGAGAGGGGCTGCAGGCCTTCCGAAGTAAAGATAATGTTGAAGCCACCATTTTCCGGAGCGGAGTTGTTGCAGGAGGATGCCCGTGCCAGCTGCAGCTGTTCACTGACCGCCGTGTGCTGAACCCCCACTGCCTCCGCTGTGGCCAGGCCCATGGGACCCCCAAGCGCAGGCTCTACGAGTGCCCAGGCTTCCACCTCTTCCGTCGAGATTTCGATTTGGCCGATGTCGTTCGAGAAGGAGTAGGTAGACCCGAGCAGGCTTTGTTGTACACTAGGGCCCTTGGCCCCGACCCTGGGGCCGAATGGCCCCCCCTGCCCATGGCCGATTCCAGGCTCTGGCACCTTCGCCCCTCCTCGGGCCTCCTGGGCCCTCGGCTTTGTATTGACGGGTCGGGTCTGGACCAAGGGAACCCTTTTTCGGCCAGAGCTGGCTGGGCTGTAGTTAGTATGCAAGAAGTAGGAGGTTCTGACGGCAGTGTCTTTGGGCCCCTCCCCCACCCCCATTCAGCGGAGCGGTGGGGGGGGGGGGGGGAGATTTATGCCCTCATCATGGCCATCCGACTTGCTGCCCCTGGCCTCCTTACCATATACTCGGATTATCAAGCTGTCATTGACATTTGGACAGCTGGCCCCAACGCGGACCGCCCCCATGTCGCTTCTGAGTTGTGGGATGAGGTGTTTTTTTTCCTGGCCACCGACTTCGGGCTCGAGAACATCGAGCTCCGTAAAATCAAGGCCCACCTTTCCTGGCAGGCGTGCTCCCGAACCTCCAATGCGCCGTTCTGGGCATGGACTGGCCACACGCTCGCTGACAAGCTTGCGCAGCAAGGTGCCAAGGCGCATGTTTCGAATCCCGAGCTTGTGCGCAGGCGCAAAGATAGCCGCGATTCGGTCCGTTCCGTTTGCAAACTCGTTGGCGCCTTCGGTACATAATCATTTGTCCCATTTCAAGTTTCCAGACGTCCAGCGGGTAAAGAAGCCCCGCCGCCCGACGTCCAATGCCCTCCAGCTCGTCCCAGACCGTCAAGGCCACGTTCTGCAGCGAGTGGGCAAATCTTCTCGAGATTTCATCTGCACCCGCTGCGGAGGTCGTGGTCTGTCTGAGCGTGCTGCGTGTGCTATGCCATGC